AGTACCTGTACTCCTTTGTGCCAATGTTTACGTGGTGAAAATCCATTTTGCTTTTGTAAGTTATATATCCCGCTAATCGTTCTAAAATTCCACTTCTTGTCTTCAGATGGACAATAATGATATAGATACAGTCGCACTCAAGAAAACAGCGGGACCTGCGGCGACCGATGAAGGGTCTGGCAAAATACTTGCTTCGGTATTCCCGGTAAACATTTTGTAAATATTTTTTTTATTTTTCTGTTTTGTTGTCTCTGGTTTTGATGTTCGTTATTGTAGCCTGTTTCCTGAAAGGTCTGATCCGCTTAAGTACATCTTCCCGGAAAACTTTTAAAATTAGTTAATCTTTCCAATCGAGATCATTGTGAAATTTGAAAAGATAGTAAGAAATTATTTTTTATTATGCACTGGCTTTAAGAGTCTACACAAATGACATCTTTTTCTAAAAGTGAGAATTTGTGTGCCAATTATAGATAAAAAGTTGAACGTCTAGTACTAGGAATTAAAAAAATTTTTTTTTGTACCAAACGATTTAGAAAAGAAGTTATTGCAAAGGTGTTTTTGAAGTTGTGTCATTTGAATATTTTTAATTTTTTAGCTGCAGACGAATCTGCAACGAAAACTAAATTATTGCTCAAATCAGTTTTTCGGTTACCTTTTACTCTTAAGTTTTTTATCTACATTTTTTTGTCTCAACCGCATTTAATTATTAGAATTTTGTTACTGTGGTAGTTTTTCCAAAATGTAGTTTTGGTCTATAGCATAATTGACTGCCACAAGTAACAGTGCATTATGAAATTATTACTTCTCTAAGTGAAGTTTATAGATTCCAGAGGTTCCTGGAAACTCGTCTTTTGAAGATGAAACTTTTGATGTTAGTAAAAGATTAACCAGTTTTTGGAACGATAAAAAGGCCGAAGTGGAAAGTTTATCTCGTGTAAGTTTTCCTCTTGCTGTAAGAAGCTTTAGCAAAAGTTTTGTTTTTAAATGACGTGATAACCATTTTAAAATTTTTATTTTTTCATTGTGTAGGAGAAACTTCGACAAGCGACTCGTAATCAAGACCTGCCTTTAGCGCGAATTAAAAAGATTATGAAGTTGGATGATGCTTTGAAGGAGCAGGCGAGCAGTTGTTTTTACTTATTATTTCAATACAAGACTTTAAATGGTTTTAAAGGAGTTTTACTGGTGACAATTGTCTTACTTTTTAACTCTGTGTTAACCGTTCAGATGATTAGTGCAGAAGTCCCAATTTTTCTGGCTAAAGCTTGTGAAATTCTTATTGAGGAAATTACACTGCGGTCTTGGCGTAGCACTGAAATGGGAAAGCGCAAAACTTTGCAGAAAAGCGATATCTCACATGGATTAGCAGAGTAAGTGGAACTTTTGCCAGCGTTACCAAAAATGTCATTTTTTGCTAAAAGTATTTGATAAGCATTGGTCTGTTTTATCTGAGCTTTTTAATTTATGCATTTTTTCATAGAACTAGTTTTAGTGTTGACAAGTTCGATTTCCTAGTGGATTTTGTTCCACGCCCTGAACCAAGGCGTGATATTCCATCCCAACCGTCAGCTATTGCCGTACCAGTTGTGAGTTAATTTTTGTAAATATACGGTAATTGGTGTTTTCGATTTGATACATCAATTACTTTTTGCTTTCAATTTTGCCACTGAAGTTGCTCAAAGAAGTTTTTTCGTGTTTTACATATTTCCACTTTTCTGATTATTTCAATTAACATTATCTTTAGCTTTCTCACTTATTGGTCTGGGCAAAATCTCAGTCTG